CAGCTAACCATTGGCGCCGATACTATGACGTACCAATTCAATCATCATCCTCCTCCCCTACGGCAACTACTGTTCCCGTGTTACCACACCCTGAACACTCCAACGTCTCTGTCTCACAGCCGTACGAAGCGATACCGGACCACCTCCATATTTTACAGTCATGCTGGGGACGCTCTGCCCAACACCATTCTCAAGGAACTACTACCTCTTTATATTGGCCACCTTGGCGGTCTACACCACCTTCTTCCCCACCGGCAACACTACAACGTACTGTACATCTCACTCGCCCCGCTGTCCCTCCTCAACAAGTACATGGTCCGCTGGATGCGAATGATATTGACCCGATGGATACGTCGGACTCAAGTGTGTAATATACCACATTATTTGTCGGCAGGAAAAAGACCTGTGATTCATCGTCTCTTTGTGTGACCATTTACTAGGTACACCGTTTCTCGTTCATTTCTAACACTTTGAGCTGGTTTCTGTGGCTATTCCAACCCATTTTGCAGCTTGGGCTTTTCGCTTTATCCTCGATACTTCACATTCGACGCAATGGCTCGTTCTTCTCGACCCAATCCATATCGCGCTACATCCACGATTGAGACACCGCTTGGTACACGAACCGTTGGATGGATTGCTGGACATCGAGGCCTTCCTGGTGATGCGAACCCTCCTCCAAACAGACCTGTCCTTATCTTGGTTGACTTCTCTCCCCTACAGGCATTGACTCACCGAAGCGAACCTGACCGTGAACACTACATGGCTCTGGTGAACTCCAATTTTAGACATGTCAGTGGCTTTGAACTTGCAGCTTTGTTTACCTGGTCACGTCAGATGGAACCAGTTGAAGCCGGCCTCATCCCAATTGCCGAACTTCGCTTCTGTATCTCCAAAAGATTGAGGTCCCAATGGGACATCCAAATTGATCCCTCGAATCTGGAGTTTCGCTTTTGCGACCTGGACGGTGAGACATTCCAAGTTTCCAATGATATGACGGTCTTGCAGCTTTTGGAGGCATACCGACCTGAATGGCGACTTCGGCAGTACAACTCCCGTGAATCTTCTTTCCTCATTCCGGGTACCAGACAGCCTTTCGTACTACGTTTGCAATGCTACAAAATTAGCTCCGGTGTGATCCTGCCCTGATACGCTAGCCGGCCAAAAAAGACCATGCTAGAGGGTTTTCAATTCTTCCTTGACAACCCACTAACACACAGGATTCTTCGATTTCTATTTTATTTGACTTTGAGCTGTGGCTTCTCCGTCGCAATTGACCCACTTGCTTGAGGACTGGATTTCACTTTTATCATTTTTGTGAATATTATCATTTTCGGGATTGGCTTTTTTTCTGCAATTCTTGATGCTTCAGCCGTTGTTGCACTATTTCTCGCATTTGTGACAGTTTCACCCATGGAACACAAACGAGACGCGACCGTGGCGGGCTTGTCTTGGCCTTCGAATCCTACCCGTGGACTCGCTCCTACCAATCCAGTTCAAGTACCAGACGCCCAGACTTCTGCACTATGTCACTCAGGAGCTCCCGACACTACGACCAACCCTACGTCGGCACCTTTGGTCACTGACAGTACGGCACCTGCCACGGATACTATGGCCCATCCTGATACATATTCAGGACCAGCACCTCCTTGCGTCCCGTTTCCAATGGAGTCAAGTTCTGCACACAACTACCTCCATCGTGCTCAATTCTCTTCTCGCGTGGTTCACCAGATCCAATTCAAGGTCATTACCCACTCCAACAACACCAGGGAGCTTTTCATTGAAGAAATCCCCTTGCTAGGGCATTCCCGCTGTCGTGACCCTGAACACTACTTTTATGGTCTTTCGGGCAATTGGGAGTGGTCCCTACGTACAGCGGACTATTGGCGACATCATTTCGAGATTCCCCTTGTACACGGACACCATCCTTTTCACAATGTGCCCATTGAGACGACATCTCCAGCAGAGGAACCGAGCCTTACCACCCGGATCCACGAATTAGCCACGGATCTTTCTGAGGCCTTGAAGGCTGCTACGGCATCTGGGGAATTCAATGAGACGTGGGCGATGGTTGAACGCATGAGCTTCCACGATGCTTTCGAAGTCCTTCTACAAGCTCCGAATTCTTCTTCTTCTGACTGAAGTGATCGCCCGTTTGTACATTTGGTTTTTACAGGTTCACTCTCACTGGTGTATTGCCGATTCCGCCAGCGAAGTTCTTCCAAAAAATCCAACCTCGCTATATGCGAGGTGTGTGTGTGTACCATCTGAACAGATGTAAAACTTCTGATTGGTTTTCACTAGTTTGCAGGGGGGTGCAGAGCACAGTGGAGACTGCACCCAACGAAGCTATCCACTTGTGCTGGAAGCAGAGTCTGATCAACTCTGTGTACCTGCAAAATTTGGTTTCAACTGTTGATCAAGCTGTTACACTGCGTTGTTTCGAATCTACACGGTTGCCACAATCTGTATTGCATGCATCAGAACCTTCCTCAGATTTTCGCCGAAACCATATCGCCGACAGTATTATGATTTTTTGACATATTTTCGCCGAGATCATGTCGCCGACGAACTTTGGGTTATTTTGGGAAACAATCGCCGAAACATTATTGTGGATTCTCAACATGCTGGTTAAAACTCTATGGATCCTGGTTTTGACTTCGTTTGACAACATTGGATGCCCTACATCGTTTTCGAGAAGTACCTCATGTGGCTCCTTTACTAATCTAACGATCTAGGCTGGTTTGCATGTTTCAGGATTCAGTTCCTGCCGGATCATATAATGATCCATTCTTGTCTAGTGTGTGTGTAAGCGCTTGCCATGTGTAAAAGCGCTGTGTGAGTGTTCTGTGTGTAAACACTTGCTGTGTGTGAAAGCTTGCTGTGTGTAAAAGCTTCTCTGTGTAAAAGCGTGTTGTGTGTAAAAGCTTCTCTGTGTGTAAAAGCTTCTCTGTTTAAAAAGCTTGCTGTGTAAACGCTTGCCATGTGTAAAAGCGCTGCGTGTAAGTGTTCTGTGTGTAAACGCTTGCTGTGTTGAAAGCTTGCTGTGTGTACAAGATTTTGCGTGTAAAAGCTTGCTGTGTGTAAAAGCTTCTCTGTGTGTAAAAGCGTCTTTGTGCAAAAGTTTCTGTGTGTCAACGCATGCCATGTGTAAAAGCACTGTTTGTAAGTGTTCTGTGTGTCAACGCTTGCCATGTGTAAAAGCACTGTGTGTAAGTGTTCTGTGTGTAAACGCTTGCTGTGTGTGAAAGCTTGCTGTGTGTAAAAGCTTCTCTGTGTAAAAGCTTGTTGTGTGTAAAAACTTCTGCGACATCTGGTGTGTGTAAAAGCTTCTCTGCTTAAAAAGTTTGCTGTGTGTAAAAGCTTCTCTGCGAAAGAACTTGCCGTGTGTAAAAGCATTCTTTGTGCAAGCTTGCTTAAAAAGTAGTGGGAAATAATTTGTGCAAATTTTGTAGTACAAAGTAGTACTGGGAAGTACTTTTTGCAAGCTTTGTAGTGCAAAGTAGTACTGGGAAGTACTTTTTGCAAGCTTTGTAGTACACAGTAGTACTGGGAAGTGTTTTGCGCAAGCTTTGCAGTGCAAAGTAGTACTGGAGCGTGTTTTGTGCAAGCTTTGTAGTACAAAGTAGTACTGGGAAGTGGTTTGTGCAAAGTGTTTTGTGCAAGCTTTGTAGTACAAAGTACTACTGGGAAGTGTTTTGTGCAAGCTTTGTAGTACAAAGTAGTACTGGGATGTGTTTGTGCAAGCTTTGTAGTACAAAGTAGTACTGGGAGGAAATACTTTGTGCAAGCCTTGAAGTACAAAGTAGTACTGGGAAGTAGTTTGTGCAAGCTTTGTAGTACACAGTAGTACTGGAAGTGCTTTGCAAGCTTTGTAGTACAAAGTAGTGCTGGGAAGTGTTTTGTGCAAGCTTTGTAGTACAAAGTAGTACTGGGAAGTGAAGTGCGCTTTGTTACAAAGTAGTACTGGAACGTGTTTTGTGCAAGACATGGAATGAGATGAGAAGAGCCCAGATGAGATGAGTTGAGATGAAGTGTCAGTGTGAAGTGCAAGTGTGAAGTGTGAAGAGTGCAGTGTGAAGTGTGAGGAAAGTGCTTGCTTGGCGTTGCATTGCGCCGGGGTCGCTCGCAGGTCATGTTCTTGGACAACAACACTGCAACAGCTTCGCACAAAGCACGCACTTACGGGCCTGGCTGGCGCACGACGCATGCAAGTTCCTTAGTAGTAGTACTGGGAAGTGATTCATGAAAGCTTAGATGACATATGAGAAGAGATGAGATGAGAAGACATGAGCTGGGAAAAGGTGAGAAGAGCTCAGATGAGATGAAGTGTGGAGTGTGAAAAGTGCAGTGTGAAGTGTGGGGCGTGAAGAGTGCAGTGTGAAGTGTGGAGTGTGAAGTGTGAAGTGTGGAGTGTGAATAAAGCAGTGAGAAGTGTGAAGTGTGGACTGTGAAGTGTGGAGTCTTAAGAGTGCAGTGCGAAGTGAAATGTGGAGTGCGAAGAGTGCAGTGAGAAGTGTGAAGTGTAGACTGTGAAGTGTGGAGTGTTGAGTGTGAAGTGTGGAGTGTGAAGAGTGCAGTGAGAAGTGTGAAGAGCGAAGTGGAGCTTCAAATGTGACATGTGAAACAGGACACAACTGTCGCAGAATGCACGCACGCACGGGCTTGGCTGGCGCACGGCGCATGCAAGTTCTATAGATGAGAAAGGTTTTATATATATCCCTAAGGCAACTTCCGCCCCGCCTCGTGCGGGTACTACTGGTATAATACTATATATTAATAATTATTGGTATATATAATTATATATATGTGTGTGTGTAGAGCAAGAGAGAGAGAGAGAGAGAGAGAGAGAGGGAGGGAGGGAGGGAGAGAGAGAGAGAGAGAGGCATGATGGAGTATATGATAAATATATATGTGTATATATACATGTATATACATAATAAACACACACATAATATGTTTATTGAACTTCCGCAAACTTTTCGATTTGTTTGCCAGTCAAGGCGTGATCGCTTTGACATTGCCAGCGGTGCAGCAGCAGCATCCTGGCTGCAGGATGGGTTGGAACCGGATGTTGCTTTGCCTGAAAGCAGGTAGATCGCTAGTAAATGTCGGGAACGTGAGTTGGAGGGACGGAATACTTGCATCCCAAGTGCTATTCAATGCTTTTTACTTGCATAACTACATAACTATACTCATTTCTGATGTGGCTTCCTGGACAAACGGAGGTACTTGCTAGGTGTGCCACTTGACTGCACATGGTCCGCCAAAAAAACATTACAACAACATGTCAGTCGGGGCTGAGGCCACCAAACGACTTCTGAAGGTTTGCTGGACCACCTTCTTGGCGCTACTCCAGGGTGAATCTGTTGATCAAGCCGCAGAAACTGGTCCATTGGTTGTAGTCCTCGATTTAGCTTCTCAGCTGCATGATAGAATCAAATGACGATTAAAGACAAATAAAGACAATCAAAGTAATGCAAACGATCAAAACAGTCACGGCTTGGAGTATACTGGAACTGTTGTCATTTCTTTGCTGGTGTTTGCTGGCGTTTGGGGGGCATGTCGCGAAGGACTCTACGCCAGCAGAGAGCCATTTGAAGATTCCATTGTGCCAGTACGCTTAGCATTCAGATACTTGTACCTTCAGACTTTTTGACATGCACTGCGCGTTCATTTGTCGCCTTTTGTAGGCAGCATGTTGAGTGAATTGTTGGGTGAGGCCTCTCTGCCCGGTTGACTGCAAGAGGTGCAGTTGTCGCAGTAGACGGGAGTGCTCAGCGGCACAGCCTCCTCAAGGTTCTGTCAAGAGTGCGCCAAGTCAAGTGAGACAGTGACGCTCATCGCTTGGCGTCATCGAGGAGATGGACCATGGACCTGGATTCGGTGCAAGATGCCAAAAAGCTCGCGGGGCACGGAAGACGACGACAGCCCGGCGGCTGAAACCATGAAGGGGGGCAGCTCTGAGGACGAGCCCGCAAGAATGGCGTAGTTGATTGAGCTGGCAGCTAGATGCAGCTAGCACATTTGAGTGCACCTGGCAGATGTGGACTGCCTGATGGTTTAGATCGATTCACACAGTTCAATGTTGATATTTTTTGCAGAGTTGCAACTGCCAGAGAAAAAGGTGTCCACGAGAATGATTTGTACATCGGCAAATGGGCGTCAGCTATGGTTGCCATTCCAAATTTAGTATCACTTGGCATCTCCATTTGGCGACAGCCAGGTACAGAAGGGACTTCACAAGCACCGCTCAATGCGCATGGAGCTTGGATGCACGACAGGATCAACGATGAACACAGTGGGTAGATATTTTTGCTTGCGCAAAACTGCCGCATTGCCAACACTGTGCCAGCTCCAGGTTGCAGGGATTGGCTGACATATGCTGACATCGATATTCATGCCCCAAACACCACCCACAGAATCCATACAATACACCACCAGGGATGGAACCTCTGCAAAAACTGAAAAAAAAGATGTCTTGCGTTTCCGTTCTTGCTTCCCCTTTATGACATTTTATGACCAATCTTAGTGCCACATTGAGGATATAGCGGCTGAATGTCTCTGATATGCCAACCGTTTCGCCATGTGCAGGGCCGCTTCGTCCCCTACATCTTCACCCGCTGGTGGGTCCTTGCTCGGCGGCTATGAGTCGTCAGATGAAGGGGAGGCTGGCCCTGTTGCAGGAACACCAAGGCCTAGACAGATCTAGACAGTGCCTCACCATGCTAATTATGTTATAGACACACGCACACAGACAAACAGATATAATATAATATAATATATAATATAATAATATAATATAATATATAATATAATATAATATATAATATATAATATAATATAATATATAATATAATATAATATAATATATAATATAATATAATATATCATATAATATATAATATAATATAATATAATATATACTATAATATAATATAATATAATATATAATATAATATAATATAATGTAATGTAATTAATTATATGTAAACAATGGAGACATGCACACACACACACATTATACGTTACATTATATATCGTATTCATCTATATAATTGTGGGGATAGTTCTGGTCTTGTGAGTCCAAGAGTTCTACGAGCCCCTAAAAAATGTTAAAAACACTAGTTCAAAGAAGTTTTATAAATTCAAATTATAGCAGTAGTATAACAACTCAATAATTATCTGCAAAAAAACATAACAACTAACCACAATTACCTCATTCATTCCACAAAATCATCACTACTAACCATATCATCATCTCATTCATTTTCATAAATCAAAACAACCTACAATCTCTATACCTCATCCATTTTATAGAAATCATCACAGTCAATACATCATCACCTCATCCATTCCATACCCAAAACAAAACAACCAAACAACAAACAAAAAAAAACAAACCAAGCAAAGCGCAACATAAAAAACAAAACAATAGACAACAATACAGATACTTCCTTAGTCTTTAATAATCCTATCTTACAAACCCATAACTCTAATAATATTATCATTAAAATTATGTAAGTAGTAAATGACTTCAATAATTACTAATTCAAAATGAAATGCTTGTATCCTATTATACTATCTTTATCATTGTCTTCATCTATATCTTCCTGTATTTCTTCAACTGCTTTATCTAATACATAATCTATATTTTTTATCTACATATTCATCAAAGCCATACATAAAATAAATCTCTCTATAACTAAATTCATTTTCTCCATATTCCTTTTCTGGGAGTTTTGCCACTAATTGAACTTCAATATCAAGTTTAACTCTATAATTTACATCATCTTCTACTTCTTCTTAAATTAAAGATAATAATTCTTCTTTTTCTTCTGTTATTATGTCTTCTATACTTTTTAAACTAAATGGCACTCCCTCTCTCATAATACAGTATTCAATTATATATATTTTTTTTCTTGATTTCAAATGTCTTGTTATTTTAGGACCAAGTCTTGATATTTTATATTGTGATGTATTCTCTTCAATGCTTCACTATACTTTACTTTCAAATATTTCGGGTCTCCAATTTTTTCCGAATCAATTTTACTCAACGCATCAACAGGTAAATCCTTCACACAATCCATCCCACTAATATACTTAAATAACTATTCTTTAAGTATATATTCTATGATTAAAATAAAGCATTCTTTTGAAAACTACTTAAAGATAAATTAAGTAAATAAAATATATACTATTATATGATGAAAAAAGTTATAGACTATTTATTGAGCAATGATTTAGCAGAAATACCAAAGAGAGGAAGGAACGAATTGAAGTCCATAATCATAGACAACAGGAAATTCAGATACAACAAAGACAAACCCATATCAAATGTCTTGACCAAGAAACTACTATCAGTAAAGAACACTAATGAATACAGAAATTATGCTATGAAAAAGGCAACAGATCAATTAATAACCAAACACGCAATAAGAAATAAATTTAGGGTCAGAGATATTCAATCAGCATTTAGAAGATATGCTAATTCAATAGTTTTAGAAAACAAGCACTTTCAAGGAGAAAGAGGATTAGAAATGATTGCTCACCAAAAGCAAAGACTATCAGAATTTTTAAGCAATAATAGAAACATGAAACTTAACATAAGAACGGAAAGATTATTTGAAAAACCTGAATATGATGATGGAGGAAATGAATTAGGAAGTCAAGAACTTGTATATGCTTTACCATCAACATATCATCCAATTCACAATGAATATGAACTGACACAAGCATTAGAAGATAGTGTTATTCAAATCCGATTACAAATACAAAATTTGGAAGGTTCAACATCTAATTTAAGATTTAGAACAATTTTATCAATAACTATTCACTATGACAAATTTGACCCAACAAGAGCAGGCAGTTTTATAGAATTACCAGAATGGATTAAATCAAAGAAAGTTTGTATCAACATAAAAAATAAAGACCAAAAATGTTTCAAATACTGTATTCAATCCGTAGTCTATGACAAAATTAGCAAACATCACCCAGAGGAAATGTTACACTATAATAAACTAAACGATGATATTTTGAACTGGGATGGTGTAAAATTTCCAACTTGCAATAGGGACATAGACAGATTTGAAGAGAACAACAACTTAATTTCAATAAATGTTTTTGAAACTGATGACTGCCTAAATGATAATAAAATAATCATACATAGAGGCACTAAAAATAGAAATGCTAAATTTGAAATTGATTTATTAAAAGTCTATGATAAAGGTAATAACTATCACTATGTATTAGTGAAAAACAAAAGTAGATTACTTAACTGCCAAAGCAACAAAAATATCAACAAGAAACACTACTGCCATCATTGCTTAAACCCTTTCTCATCAGAAAAGGCATATAAGAACCATCTTGAAAAGGGATGTATGGCATCAGAAGGACAACAAACAAAGATGCCTGATAAAGACACTTACATAGAATTTCAAAAGCATAATACCAAATTGCCTTGTCCTTTTGTAATCTATGGTGATTTTGAATGTCTAACCACTAGCTCTAACAATGGTATAAAAGGCACATATCAGGAACATAAACCGTGCGGTTATATGTTGAATGTAGTAAGCAGGATTGATAATACATGCCAACCATACTTATACAGAGGTGAGGATCGTATGAAAAAGTTTGTAGAACAACTGACTGAAATTAAGAAATATATAATTGAAAAGATTAATGTTAATAGACCAATGGATGAATTAACTTACGAACAAAAGACCGAATTTAGAAACGCGACCCACCGCTCTATATGTAATAAGAAATTTCAACCTGATGATACAAAAGTCCAAGACCACTGCCACTTCACAGACAAATACAGAGGCGCGGCGCATGTAAAATGTAATTTGGATTATTCATTTAGGTATTTTAAGATCCCTATTTTCTTTCATAATCTTAAAAATTATGACGCTCACTTAATCATAGCAAAAGCAAATGAACTAAACATAGAACTAAACCAAAACAAAAGAATAGATGTAATAGCACCAAACAGCGAAAAGTTCATAACCTTTTCATTTGGCGCTTGTCAGTTTAAAGACAGTTTTGCTTTCTTAACAGCATCATTAGATAAATTAGTTAGACTGAACAAATATGAAGGAAATGAAAAGATTAAAAACTGGGAAACTCGTTTTAGATATACAAGCACTAACCCATACATTAAATCAAAAACTGATTTGAATTTACTAACTGAGAAAGGGGTATATCCCTATGACTACATGAACTCATGGGAGAAATTCGATGAAACAAAAGTACTAAAAAAAGAAGATTTTTACAGTAAATTATATGAAGAAAACATAACTGACAAAGACTACGCCAGAGCAAATATCGTATGGAAACATTTTGACATTAAAAACCTTGGTGAATATCATGATTTATATTTGATGACTGATGTATATTTACTAACTGATGTATTTGAAAATTTTAGGGACATGTGCTTAAACTATTATGGATTAGACCCAGCATATTCTATCACTTTACCTAACTATTCTTGGAATGCCTTTTTATCATTAACAGGAGTTAGACTTCAACAAATCCACATAAAAGAAATGTATGAGATGATTGAAAAAGGATTAAGAGGAGGAATGACACAATGCTCCTTCAAGAAAGTAGAAGCAAACAATAAATACATGAATGAAGATTATGATAAATCTAAACCTTCATCGTACATAAGTTATTTAGACGCTAATAATCTTTACGGATTAGCAATGTGTAAGAAACTTCCCTGTGATGATTTTAAATGGCATTACGGTAGAATGGATGAAACGAGAGTAATGAAATATTGTGATGATGATGACATAGGATACATATTGGAAGTTGATTTAGATTACCCAAAAGAACTACATGATTTACATAAAGACTACCCACTAGCACCTGAAATCATGTGTATCAATGAGAGTATGCTTTCACAAGTCCAAAAGGATATACACAAATACTATTATGAAAAAGATGCCGGTGATGAAAAGACAAATAAGTTAGTATTAAATGTGATGGATAAAAAGAAGTATGTTTTACACATATCAGCATTGAAATTCTATTTGCAACACGGATTACATCTTAAAAAAGTCCATAGGGCAATAAGTTTTAAACAAGCAAACTTCCTAAAACCATTCATTGAATTCAACACT